GAGCATGCCGGCGGCCTTCCGCTTGCAAAGCCTGACTCCCACGGAGATCCATGGAGATGAAAAAAAATCAGGGTCTTTCCGCGAGAAATGGAACCCGTCCAACGTGGGAACGAGCTTGAAAATGCACTACAAGTACGAGGCTGCTGGCTGCTTGTGGTGGACGGAGCTCTTTCCTCAGGAGCAGTCCCTGCTAGTGGAAACTTCGGATAATCTGGATTGGGCTTCGGTGCTCAAGTTTGCCGAGGGTCTTGCAATGGACAAGGCGGCCAAGGACGGCATGCTGATGTTCGACACCACGATTGCATGCTTCCTTTATCCCGACGATGTTGCGGGACAGGGCCTCTCCGATGGCTTCCCTGCTTGTTTGCCGGTCCTCCGGGCCGCTCTGTTGCCTGCATGGGGTGTCCTGGTGGCCCTCGGCCAGGCCATCCTGAAGCAGGATTGGGAGCACGTGCGCAGACTGGTGGAAGTCACGCGCAGCGTGCGCCTCAGGCTGCACGTGGTTAAAGACCGCGTGGAGGCGGCGAAAGAATCCATCCACTACTGCGAGGAGTTTCGCAAGAACGCTTTGTTGCAAGACACTTTTGTGTCCTGGGTGGGGAAATTTCAGACGATCTGGACTTCCTACAAGGGCACGCAGAAGAACGCGTTGGCCTGGCTCCGGGATCAGAACGTCAAGTACCTCAACAATGACGTGAACGACGCTGTTCTGAAGGCTGCCAAGTCACCTGACTGCACCAGACGGATGTTGTTTCGGGATTGTGTTGAAGGGCCACGGTTCGCAGCATAGAAACCTTGCAAGGTTGGCCATCTCGTACTTCGACGGGCCAGTCGTGGCCACTCTGCAGTCAATCCAGCGGCTCTGGGGCAGGGAGGCCTTCAATCAGAATTACACCAAGCTCCTGCGCCTCATGCACTGTATGCAGAGCACGCTGAAGAAGGTTGGCCAAGCTGCATCCAGCGAGGTGGGGATTCAGAGATCATTGGTCGGTTTTGATTCATGACTACTAATGATAGTGCGGTCTGTGCTGAAACTGATGAGGCCCTGCTCTGGGTCCTCCAGTACACCCGCATGGCCCTCCGGAACGGCTGGCTCAAACTCGCCAGCCTCAAGGCAGACAACCTCGCGGAGTCTCGGTCGTCCAAGGTTTTGTCCTGGGGCCAGGTCAGCGTCCTCAAGTGGTCGCTCCTTTGCCACCTCAAAGGGACCCTTCCGGGTCTCACGGAGGACGACTCGGTCTCTCAGGACTTGGTGAAGGTCGTCGACACATGCTTGGTCATCCCCCACTTTGAGGCGCTCCTCCCTCAGAAGGACGTCCCCGATCTCGACAAACAGCAGGAGTTGGCCGTCCAGGCTGCGGATGATGACGCCGACATGCCCGAGGCCGCTTCGCAGCTGAACGAGGGCGCCGAGCTACTCCAGGGCTTCCTCAATGGTTTGTCGTCTGCAGGGAGAGCTGCAGGCAATCTCCTTTTCGATCTGCTGCAGGGTGACTTGGAGAACGAGTTCCAGGCGGTCTGGTTGGGCAGCGAGAACTACGAGAAGACCTTGAAGGCCATCCTGGCCAATGAGGAGCAGGAGGAGGAGAACAGCTGGACACAGGCCGTCTCGAATCTCATGTCTGAGCTGGAGCTGCTGCACGCCCAAAAGACTCAGGCCGATCCCACTCTCGGAGCTCCTGCCCCCAAGCTGCGTGAATTGGTCCGCCTGAATTCGGACGAGAATGGCGCGGATCAGATCGCGAAGTGCAAGAAGGAACGGGAGACCTTGTGGACCTCTTGCGTCCAGCATCGGTCCAGGACCGTGCGGTTCCTCGTGGGCCAGAAGAAGAACTCCATGCAACTGTTAGAAGCCATCCAGTGCCTCTTCTGCCATCATTTTGCAGTCATTGTTTCATCTCTCTCTCTCTCTCTCTCTCTCTGTCTCTCTCTCTCCTTCTCCCATGTCGCAGACAAGTCGTCGTGCTGTCAGAGATTTGTCCGCCCAGGGCCACTCCAACATGGAAGGCATTCAAGCCTTCCAACACCGACTTCATCCTCGTGATCTGGTCCGCGGATCTGGTGGGCGAAGCGCCCAAAACTCCATGGCAAAACTTGTTCCAGAAGCCGAGCGTCGTGTCCACCGAGGACACAGAGCGTTTGGCCCTCCTGAAGAGTATGACCGCAAAGGACAAGACGATTTGCGTGGCCTTCGACGGCCGAAGCAAGTCCTGGAGAAAGTATTTGGATGAGGAGGTCGGTGGGTCAGAGCTTCTTGGCCGAAACTCGTTTGTGCTTGCCAGCATCTGGAATCATGTCAATTTCCTTTTGACACCGATTCGAGGCTGTGGCTGGTGTACAACGGCCGTCCCAACGAGGGCTGCGTTCCCAGCCGGCAGGTCTTCATGTCTTCCTGCACTCGCGAAGTGGCCTTCGTCAACATGGCCTTCGCGAAGACCGCCATGAGGATCCAGGCCAGTCCGTGCAGGGTCATGGTCCAGTGTCTTCGCTTCTGATTCTGAGTTACTTGTACGGTGTCAGGCCCATGCCGATGACGACCTCATGGAAGCGTCCACGTTCTACTCCCACTACTCCGGCCTTCGATTCCCCAGGTCGCTCCCGAAAGTCCGAGCGGACGTGAAGCAGATGATCCTCGGGACCAGCGAGAGCCCGAGCCCCGAGGGGTGGCCCTCTGAGAAAGGCCTTCCGTTGTTTTGGCAAGAAGCGAAGTCTTCAAGATTCTGGAAGACTTTTTTTGCCAACATGGGCGCGAAGCTGATCGTCGACCTGGAGGCAGGCTCCGGTGCAGCGGCCGTCGCCGCCATGGAAGCAGGCCTCTCCTATATCGGCATCTGCAAGTCCCCCGAGCACCAGCGCGTCATCAGCAACGTCGTGGACTCCCAGTCTTTGAAGCTTATCACGCAGCAAGGGCATCTCCTCTACAATGCCACCTTGTCGGAGTCCATCCATCAACTTTTCAAGTCAGTTGCTTGGCTGTTTCTGCTGCGCGCGCAGGCTGTTCCCGTTCCGAGGGAGAGTTCAGTTTTCACTCCCTACATTTGCACGGATTCATCTCAGGAATTGGAGGAGACGGCAGCAAAGCCAGTGGAGATGGAGGGCGAACAGTGGTTCGAGGCGGACATTCCTCAGGAACAACCTCTGAACTGAGCCCGGCCTCTTCGCATGACGCATGGCCTTTGCTGGCCTTCAGATGTTTCGAGCAGCGAGGACGGCTCGTAGCATATGCCCAGCCGTTGTGCAACATAACATAACAGGTCATGCCAGGACTAACCGAGGCAAGTTCAAACCGTGAACTCAATGGCTGGGTTTGGGTGCTACAGTTTTGGCCGCTCCGAGCCCTCCAAAGGACTCCATCCAATCTTGCCAAGAGCACCGCGCGGAGCGCCTCCTAGAGAAAAAAGAGCTACCGTAGTTACCTGATCCTGAGAGCACACATGGCAGAATGAGTTTCTTTTGTTACAGTTGAATGTCGATCAAGTCGCAGGTGTGGGCAGATCCTCGGATCCGAGGACGGGGCTTGTTGCACGCATCAGTGAAGGATTGTCTTCAAATGCGAGTTGGCGGGCACTCGCACTGAAGGCTGAGCTTCAACATCGTCGGGAGAAGCCGGGCGCTTGCAAGTTTCTGCGAGTTACCATCTATGCTTGATTAACTCTGCTTGACAGTATGCGTAGCCGAAGCCTTTTGCGGATGTCAATCGCAGACTTGCCCCGGAACCAGACACTCGGAGCCCCAAACACATCGGCTGCAGGCCATCATTTCCCTCAGTTTCCGGCAACAAGTCGGCACCGAAAGGCTGCTGCCTTAGCATTATAACAAAGTCCGTTGGCCTTCACGATTTGTCGGTTGGCTTAGGTAGCCGCGTCAGAAACAGATCATGCGGAGACCTGGTTGATGCTATGTTCGAGGCCACAAGACTTCAGCCGTACATCGGATATTGGGCAACTGCTTGTAACCGTGTTACTAAATGCAAATTTTCGCTCCATTGTGTAATACTACAGTAGCAACAAATTGAATTCTTGCATTCTTCCCATCTGCAGACTACCTCAGCAAGGACATTGCGGTTGTAGCAAGAATACTTCCGAGTGAAAGTTTGCTGCCCCTGAACATCATCGTGACAGAAACCTCGACTGAGCACTTACTTCTCTGTTGATGAATCATGCCAATTCAATTCCTGCTCTGCGTGGATCCTCTTGGGTGGATCGGCCTGTGCCTCAGGTGCTAGAGCGGGTCTGCCAGAAGAAAGTAAGTCGCTAGGCTTTTGCCATGTTTTCGAGATTGACATGAATCATATAAAGAAGTTTGAAGACTATCAACGATGATAACACCAGTAAACTTAATAATCGTCGTAATAATT